CTGTGTGTATGCTAATGTGCATCAATTCATCAATTCTAGTCATCAATTCATCTCGAAATTCACTGCAATCTTTGCAAAATGTTCCATGGAATAATTTCAATGCAGGTCTCTATGACCTTACAGGCAGATTTATCAAATCTTTAAAAAAATTCGTAAATTGTTACCATTTTATTCAAGTATATCCTAACAATGACTATTCTCCGTGCACTTATAAGATATTACAATTGCCATTGTTCATGTTCAATTGTGACCACACCATTCTCATGTGCCCCAGCATCTGACTGCTACTGACTACATCTGACTACAACGTGAGTCAGAGCAAGACGAGAGTGGGGGCGGGGGGCGAGCTGAAGCTAGAGACTGGCGACTGAATTAGTTCATATCCCACAAATATCCTCTAAAATTAATTTATATAAAGAAGAATCCTTGCATTAATAGAACGAAAAGGATTTCATATAAAATTCAATGAATGTTTGTTTTGAAGTGTCCAAAACTTTCAAATAGCGCATTGCCAGCGAAATATCATCCCTTTTGTCCCCCGCATATCATATCCTGAAAACTTCATAACCTTCGGGGGGCTCATCTGCGACACCCAATCTGTGGCAACCTCAACTCGTTTGCAGCTTCTTGTGCAGGGGCGAGAAGGTGTGGGTGGTGGAAGACTCGATACGGCGACAGAGACAAGACAGGACGAAGTGGTTTCGAACACAAAATATGTATTTCGTAGTAGTATGTGTTTCGATGACAAAAAATATGTTTTTCAATAGAAATTCTTGCAATAATAAAGATTTTTTCCAAAAAGGAACACTTTGACTGGACGGGAAACAAATGAACATCCTGCAAAACGATGACATTGCTAGAGACAGTGATGAGCCCATTTAAAAACTAAATTAACGCACTGACAAAATTAGTGAATTGACGTAACGTGCAGTTATATGGCCTGCAGTGGGCAAGCAGTAGCTGTCAAAGCGGTCCCTTCTAACAGCAATCTCTCTATATTACAAAACCCTACGGTAACTGACAGGTCGTTAACATTATTGTTCGTAGAAACCTTCACATCATGCACCGGGCATTCGTATCCTAAACTCACAGCTCGCCATCTTCTGCGCAACCCTTGCTTTTAGCGTCTTGAAGCGTCGCGTCGCGATACAACGTGCGTCGGCCAGACGGTTTGCGCCGCGGAAGCCACTTCCTTCCCGCGGCGCGGCGTGGGGAGAGGCAGGGCGGGGCGGGGCGAAGCGAGTGCGGGCGGGGCGGTGCGGGGCGGTGGCGGTGCGGCAGATGCGGTGCGGCGGGGCGGTCGGTCGGCGCCGGCGAAGCGGCGGGCGGCGGCGGCGGGGGCGACGAGGCCGAGTTCTGAAAGATCTGGGGCGCGGCGAGATCTTCACTCTCGGTCCGGCTGCGGCGGACGGCGGGTGCGGCCGGCCGTGGCGTGGCAGCGTGGGGCGTGGCGGGGTGGCGGCGGCGGCGTGGCGGCGTGGCGCGGCTGGCGGCGGCGCGCGCGGCGCGGCGCGGCGGCGGCGGAGACAGCGAGCGAGCGGCGGCGGGAACGTCGCGAGCGACTCCCACCCGCAAGTTTCACGTCGCGTCGCTCGGCCACTTCCTTTCACTGTAGGCCCGTTGCCAAACGTAGCGGCCGCGCGTCCCGCCGCGCTACGGTACAGGCCGCCGCCGCCGCCACCGCCGCCGCTGCCACCGGTACTCGCACGGCGTGGCGTCTCGGCGCGCGGCGATGGCGCAACCGCTTGGGCTCGAGCGGGCCAACCGCGTGGAGAATGGACGGCGTTTACGGGGAAATGGAGTTGCGACTAAGCGAGGGAGAGATTTACCTCCGTTGTCTGGCGCTGGGGAGATTCTCCCCGCGGAGACGTGTTCATGAATTCTAACAGCGGAAGTGGACACTGAGTTATTTACAATTAGGTATATTGTTACTGAAGGTTTTTGGAATAAAGTTTTGCTTGCTTCTTTGAACCGCTCGTGTATACTGCTTTTAGGATCACTGATAAAATCGTTATTTTCAATTTTCACTGGAATGCTGAATCATTTTTCAGCGATGACATAGAGCGATAAAACATGCTAAATTGCTTGTAATGATAAATTTTAGCTGTCTGAAACTTTTATTTAAATGAAATTATCAAAACCAACACCCTGGTCATGAAGTCTTGAACTGAAGGATGACTGCGAAAGAGCAGTGTGTTTCTTGCCAGAAATTAAACATTTACTGATAAATGAGCCCCTCGGGTGGCTCATGGACAACGTGCTACCTTTCTGAAACTCGAGCTAGCTAAGTAAGCTTAGGTACAGCGATGGGCATATGCCATGCTTGCCACATTATTCTGAATTAATCCCACGTGTAGATTGTAAATACAAACAAGACACCGGTAGCTGGCAAAAGCCGGAGTAATCCGCCCTTAAGATGCTAAATATATACATACTGATAAATGAAATTCGATTCAATTTAGATACTGATTACTCTCTGTGGCACATTACCGCTTTAGTCGTCAAAAGAACCGCTAACAGGCTGAAAATAATTTTTCAGCTGAAAAACAATGTCCCAAGAAAATCGTTTGAAACATTCAACCGACGCTGACAACATTGGTGTGTCTTTAGTGGTGAATTACATCGTTATATGTCAACGCAATCCTAACGAATGTGAGAGGGCAGAAGTTCTGAGACAGTAAGTTGCGCTGTTTCAAACTAACCATTTTCTTATTTTAATTCAACATGTTGACTACATTTAATAAACTTCAAGTATTATATCTCTAGAAGGATGATGTAAGTTTCAAACAGTCAATTAGAATTTATAAAAATATATGTGATACAGGATAGCGAGTTTTTTTCGCTTCCCTCCTCACAAACGTAAGTGACTACATCTACGACTTCCTTGCAGTAACACGACCTCGCGCAAATCGCCACAGCCACCGAGGCTGTATTGACCCTCTGAATCAACAGCAGTGGATTGCCTTCCTGCACCCAACGGACGAGCGGCGTTTCTCTCCTCGGGATTCGTGTTCGGGCCCACTGCGCAGGCGCTGGCAGCGATCGGCGGCGGCGCCGCGGCCGCGGCTCCGTGCCTCGGCGCGCGTGTCCCGTTGCGGGCGAAGCGCGCGGGAAACTCCGTACGAAGAGCGGGTGCGGGAGCCGCCCCCGGCCTCCGTGTTACCAGTGCGCGTTGTCTTCAGCCCTCGGTTTTCACTAGATGCGAGAGGAGTGGGATGTTTGATTATATTGTCGACAGCACTATTATATCAAATTCGTAGCTCGTTTTACAATACAAAATACGTTTCTATTACGTGGGAGGAATATTTATGATACCAGATTTTGTCAACAATGCGCGTTCCTATTATTTATTCTGAATCCGACTAATGTTAGTGAGTGGGGGTAGGTATTCCAGGGTTCAAGAAAATGTGCGGGTGTATTAGAAAGGTTTGCGATAAGAAGCATTCGGAGTTCCTTGGGATCAATGTGGAGGTATTATTGGCTGGTTGGTTCTGGATTGCCTCGATGGAGAATAAAAACGCGAGATTCTAAAGCAGTTCAAAGTTCGAAACCAAGCGATTCCTTCGATGAGAGAGAAATTTGGATCTTCAGTTGCTCAGAGTGAGCTGAAAGTGCAGCTCGCCGTATTTTTGTCACAACTATGCAATTATTGGTTCAGCTTCCTCGAACAGGTGGAGTAATTCCCCATTCACTATTATAAAATCACATATACTAACTTTCGTAATTGCCTCAGTCAGTACAATGATTTGTTTAGCACATAACCTTAATCATCTCAGTCGTGGCTAGCAAAAAATTAAAATGGAACGATGGCGTGGCATTTGAAAACTCAGACCCTTGTTCCAAAAATACGTGACGCGAACAGTTACCAAGAAATTTATCGCCGAAAAAGAGTAGTAATATAGAAGTGCACGCGTATAAGTTTGTGTTTAGGCTTCAGGTAGAGTTGCCTTTTCTAAGATGCCGCGATATTTTAATACAATTGTCAACGTTTATCACTATTTCAGAAGAGGCATTAGTAACTTTATATTTTAAAGAAAGTTATCCTCTGTAAATACATTTTTGTTGAACGCAAATTGTTGAAAAAATGTTCTTCAGTCGCACCTAAATTAATTTAAACAAATCAAAACGTATTATCATTTTTATCGCACCATCCACTCACCTAGTAACGTAATTACCTACGTCCGTGCAGATGACAAATCCAAATAAAATAATATCTGATTGTCCTGTTAATTAAATTAGAGAAAGAGGATAGGCAAATTTTTATAAGCAGCCAATACATTTGCGATTAGTCACCCACAAATTTCATACAGTACGGCATTTCGAACTCCCATAACGTCCCAACACGAGAGCACATATCACGGGTCCCAACGCGAGCAGCCTCCCCTGCGGTAGGTCAGTGCTGTCATCGCCGTGCCGCGCCGCACCGCGTCGCGTCGCGCCGCGCCGCGCCGTGCTGCGCTGCGCTGCGTGTGACCCATATCGTTTCCTGAAAATCGCGCGGTGACCTGCGGCGAGGTGAGTACTCGGCGGCCGTCACGTGACCGCCGCCTGCGCGATGGCCGCCCGCGGCGACGGCCCGGGTGCTTCGACTTCTCGCCGCTTTCCTCACCACAACACGCGAAGAGGCTATCAGTTGAGCCGTTGGAAAATTCACTTCTCCGGACGATTGAAGGTCTTCTCCGGTAATTGACAATGATGGGGGTTCGTGACAAGTAAGGAAAAATACGTAATTCGTTGATGTCAATTATTCATGACGTTTCCTCTTGAGATTTCTCATAATCATATGTACGATTGTTCATCCTTATCTGGTCAAACAGCTCGTTTTGTTTAGTTTTCGCATCCTCTTTACTCCAACTCCGCAACTCGAATCCTCTCGTTTCATCCCGGGGCCATCGCAGATCACTGGCATCCTGTTGGCTTCCCGCGAAGCCGATGTTTCGTGTGAGCGGGCGCGTCGCCCGACCGACGAACGAACGGGATAGCAGCCTTTTTGCAGGCGGTCAACAAACGCGCCTAGGGCGATAGCTGCTGCTGCTGCTGCTGCTGCTGCTGCTGTGGCGGCGGCGGAGAGGCGCAACCCACCACCCACCGCCCGGGGAGAGCGGAAGGACCTCGCGCAAAGGGGCTGACTGCAGGCTGCGCCGCTCGGTACCCACCGGACAGGAAGCTGGTGGCGATGGACTCTCCGTCCTGGGCGTGGACCGGAGGCCGGCGCGGCCGCGCTCGCCAGCAGCACCAGCAGCGAGCAGCTGGGTTACATGGCGCAGGACGGCGCAGACAAGGACGCCACCACGCGGACGCGCGACCGACGCCGGCGACGCCGCGCGGCAGGCGGCAGCGGCCCGTGAGGAGTCGAGCAGTGTGTCCTCATAGCAGCGCGGCCTGGCCCAGACTGAAGACGACGTCGCCCCGGGTGGTGGTGGCGGCGGCAGGGCTGCGGCGGCGTGGCGGTGCGGTTGCGGCTTGCCGGACCCATCCACCGGCCGGTGCGGTCCGGCCGCTGCCGGCGGCGGCGGCAGGCGGTCGTGGCGGCGGCGGGGCGGCGCGCCTCTAGCGCGCTTCGTAGCTGACGTCAAGAGCCGTCGGGCGGCGAGGCAGTTGGACTGGTGGTCGGTGAGCGTGAATTCGTCGGCTCCCTTCGAAAATTCGTCCGCACACCGAGCGTACGCGCCAGCACTGACCGCCACACGCATGCGGAGGCGCGGGTGGAAGCGGACACGACCGTCACGTGCGCGGGGGTGGGTGTTGTTTACTGTTTTCTTTCGCGGGGAGCTGTTGGGTCCGGAGGCGAGTTTCATTACACTTTCGTTGTTGGTGAGTTTATAATATTTACGTAAGAACGGTATGGTAATCATACTGTAAAGATGAGATAAGCTTTACGAAGGAAAAAACGGTAAACGCGAAGATATAAAACAAGACAATTGCATTCCACGAAGATGTCAATGCACAATATATTGGCACTCTCCAATGATAAATAGCTACCTAGTTAAGGCACGTAATAGTACAAATATTTTTCGTGGGTTATGTTTAAAAGTATGTACGTAACGGAGATATCAATGCTCCAGGTATGAGAAGCTCTTATCCATTACTCTTTATTGGTTAACACACGAGAAATAAATATCAGAAATCGTTTCTCTGAGAAATGAATGACATTCATTTCAGAGGAAGAAGTTTATAGAAAAAATGCTTCTCAAGTTACATCTCAGGAAGTTGTTCACAGATTTTGGGATTGTTTATTTTTCCAGTTACATCTGACGAAAATTATAATCACACAAGTCTCCTGAAATACAAGATAACTTTACATCACAAATAGATCAAGAAACTTTTTGAGTAGCTTGCATTCATTTATATTTTGCTTTAACTTGATTGCACAAATTGATGAAATATATAGTTACCTACACATTTCATATTGTTTTTACTGAATAGACAAGCCCAGAAGGTTTAGAGCTTACATAAACAATGATTTCACCTCGCCTGACATAGAGCTACTGATTTTGATAATTGTTTTGAAAAACAATTCAAACAAAATATTTAAAAAAACAATGATTTCATACATTTAAAATAATTTAAATGGATTTTTTAATTTTATTTCAATACTCCCTGGAGCTTTGTGTAAATTTTACTTTACCAATTAAAACATTATCGGTATTTAAGATGTAAGGGGATTCTGCTTACCCTTATTTACATTATTGTCTACTCATAACCCAGTGAAATTTCTTTATTAACTACTTATGTGATCACAAGCGTATTAAAATTTAAGGCAAATTGCTACGAATTCTGCGACGCGAAACTGTAACAAGTTTATTAGTTAATTCGACTGAAATTAATATAGAATACATTTTGAAGTAAAATCTAAATAAATTTTCTACATAAACGTGTGAGAATATTGACATGACATTGTTGTCATAATTCATGAATGAAATAATCTGAATCATCATTGACAACTTCAATTTAGTTTGATTTAGCGGGCTTCCGTCGGCTTTGCAATACTAACAAAATAAATTCTAGTTCACAAAGATGACCTTTCATCCATGGAATTTCATATTCCATCCATATTATTTCATCCATGGAAAACACCTCGCGCACAAACAATGTTCTGCATAAAAATAAACATTATGAACCTGAAAGATACAGAACAAGCATGGTCAATCGGGGCCGAGAACATGTGAAGTTTCCAGACTTCTCTGCTAAGGAAGAGTCAGAGAAACGAACAAGTAGTCCGATTACGCAGTGTGGGCGAGGGCGGGGCTGAGGACAAAACGAGCAGGAGGCGGGAAGAGGGAGATTGTAAAGAGCCAGGCGATGGGGCTGTGGCGTGATCGGACGCTGGAGCGGAGCAGACAGTGAGGGCAACAGCAGGGTGGGCTCAAGAGTGAACACAGAAGCGTGGGGGTGAGGGCACGGGTAGGGGTGGTGGTAAGGGGGAATTATGGCAAAGACGAAGTCAAGTGCGATGCCTAGGTGAGGTGGAGGCTGAGACGAGGACAGGAGCGAAATCAGCGACGGTGGAAGGCCGATGGAAGAGCTGCGGACCTGGAGATGGAAGCTAAGGACGGAGACGAGGTCGAGAGCGGGAAGGCGAGAGCGACGACTGGGGGAGGGGCAGAGGTGGGGATGAGGCGAGAGTGAGAGGATGGGTGAGGGCGAGGGCGAGAGTAAGGGCCAGAGCAATAGTGAGGGCGAGGACGAAGGCGAGGGCGAGGGCGAAGGCGAAGGCGAGGGCGAGGGCGAGGGCGAGGGCGAGGGCGAGGGCGAGGGGACTTCCTTGCAGAAACACTACTCGCGGCCAAATCGCCAACAGCACCGGACCTGCTGTAGACCCTCTGAATCAACCTTCCCTGCCCACAACATGAACAAGCGGGCGTTTCTCTCCTCGGGATCGTTGTCGGGCCCACTGCGCAGGCGCTGCAGCGATCGCACGGCACGCCGCGGCGCGGTCCGTGCCCTCGGACGCGCGTGTCCCGTTCGCGGCGAAGGCGCCGGGAAACTCCTACGAGAGCGGGTGCGACCGCCCCGCTCCGTGTTACCAGTGACGCGTTAGTCTTTAGCCCTCCGTTTTCACTAGATGCAGAGGAGTGGAGTTTGTCTTATATTGTCAACAGCACTATATATCAAATCCCGTAGTCGTTTTTACAATACAAATACCGTGTTCTATTACGTCGGAGGAATATTTATGATACCAGATTTCAAACAATGGCGCTTCCTATTATTTATCTGAATCCGTACTAATGTAGTGATGGGAGATAGTATTCCAGCCGTTCTAAGACAAATGTGCGGGTGTATTAGAACGTTTTCGATAGAAGCATTCCGGAAGTCCTTCCTGGGTCAACTTGAGATATTATGGCTGGTTGGTTCTGGATTGCCTCGATGGAAATAAAAAACGCGAATTTAAAGCATTCAAAGTTCAAATCAAGCGATTCTTCGATGAGAAGAAATTATGATCTTCAGTTGCTCCAGAATGAGCTGACAAGAAGCTGCCGTATTTTTGTCACACTATGTCATTATTGGTTCAGCTTCTCGACACAGTGGGGAGTAATTCCCATTCACGATTATAAAATCAATATACTAACTTTTTCGTAATTGCCTCAGTCAGTACAATGATTTGTTTCACATAACCTTAATCATCTCAGTCGGGCTAAGCAACCAAATTAAAAATGACCGATGGTGGCATTTGAAAACACTCAACCCTTGTCCAAAAATACGACCAGCGAACACGTACCAAACAATTCTATATTTATATTTTAGATATTTTTACTTAACGGTAACTTTATATTTAAAGAACATTTTCCTCTAGTAAATACCAATTTTTGCTTGAACGCAAATTGTTTGAAAAATGTCTTCAGTCGCCACTAAATTAATATTAACAAATCAAAAACGATCATTATCATTTTTTAATCGCACCATCCACTCACCTTCGTACGGTAATTTCCTACGTCCGTCAGATGACAAAACCAAATAACAATATATACTGAAATTGTCTCTGTTAATTAAAATTAGAGAAAACGATAGGCAAATTTTTATAAGCCACGCCAATACGATTATGCGATTAGTCACCCACAACTTTCACTCACCAGACGGCATTTTCGAACTCCTAATTGACTACCAAACGAGAGCCACATATCCGTCCCAACCCGCGAGCAGCCCCCTAGACGGTAGCGGTCATGCTGCTCATCGCCGCTCCGCGCCAGACACCGACCGTCGCGTCGCGCCGCGCCGCTCCTGCTGCGCTCAGCTCGTCGACCCATCGTTTCCTGAAAATCGCCAGGTGACCTGCGCGCGACAAGGGGAGTACTCGGCGGCACGTCACGTTGACCGCCGCCTGCGCTGATGGCCGCCCGCGGCGACGGGCCGGTGCTTCGACTTTCTCGCCGCTTTTCCTCCCACAACACCGCGAGGGCTCTCAGTTGAGCGTTTGGGAAAATTCACTGCGCCGGGCATGAAGGTACTTCTCCGATAATTACAATGATGGGGTTCCTGACAAGTAAGGAAATACGTAATTCTTGATTCCATTATTCATGACTCTTCTCTTAGTTTCTCATAATCATATGTACGATGTTATCCTTTCTTCATGTTCTGCATCAAAGCCAGTTTTGTTTAGTTTCGCATCCTGTTACTCCAACTACCGCACTCATATCTCTCGTTCTACATCCCGGGCCATCGCAGAGTCACTCCGCATCCTGTAGACTTCCCCGAAGCCTATGTTTCGTTGGAGCGGGCCGCGTCGCCCCGCAACGACGAACGACATACAGCCTTTTTGCAGGCGTCATCACACGCCCTAGGCGATAAGCTCGCTGCTGCGCATGACGCGGCGAGAGCCCAACCACCACCACGCCCGGGGAGAGGCGGAAGGACTCGCCAAAGGGCCTGGACTCCGCCCGTTCGGTACCCCGACAGAAGCTGGTGGCGATCGACTCTCCGTCGGGAGCGATGGACGGAGGCGCGCTGCCCGCGCCTCCAGCAGCACCCAGCAGCGCAGCGGTGTTTCATGGCGCCAACGGCGCAGACAAGCGAGCACACACGCGGACGCGCGGCCCGACGCCGCACGCCCGCAGGCGCAGCGGCACCGTGAGGAGTCGCAGGGTCATAGCAGCGCGGCCTGGCCCAGATGGGACGAACTCGCCGCCAGGGTGTGGTGGCGGCGCAGGCTGCGGCGGCTGGCGGCGCGTTGCGGCTTGCCGACCACACAGCCCGCCCGTCGCGCCGCTCGCCGACCGCGCGGGCGGCGGCGGCGACTGTGGTCGGCCGGCGGCGGCGCGCTCTGGCGCGCTTCGTAGTGAGCTCACGCCGTCGGCGGCGAGGCGTGCGGTATGCGGTTGGAGGGAATCGCGAGCTCCTCGAAGAATCGTCGCCCCGATCGACGCGCAGCACTGCGCCCACGCATGCGCCGCGCGGGTGAAAGCGTCGCGACGTCCACCAGTCTGGCGTGGGTTGTTCTTTTTTTCGCGGGCAAGGCTTTTTGGTTTTTCTGGTCCGGAGTCGAGTTCAATTCACTTTCGTGTTGGTGTTATACTAATTTACGTTCAAACGCGTATGTAATCATACATGTGATGATGAGATAGCTTTCGAAGACAAAACGGTTAAACTAACGAATATATAACAATAACAATTCATTTTCCACGAAATGTGTCAATTCGCACAATATATATTGCCACTCTCCAATGATAAAAGCACCTAAATAGCATAAGGCAATACG